TACACTTAGCATTGGTGGAGTTCCTAGAAGAGTGCTCTTATGCATGATCATGTGTGAAAACAATCCTAGGGGGAGTATAGAAAGAGCGATAGTGTGTTCCTGTGATGGCACGTGTACCTATAGTTGATAGTGCTCATGTGTAGAGACATAGGAGCTTTGAGAAAATTCTTGGGACACGGACAGATATGTATGGAAGGTAGTATGGGATCGTACTACTAAAAGCATAGGTTCCATTGGGGGATCAGGAAGATTCGAACAGATTCTAAGGAACTAAGGGAGGATAGATAGTGTGGTATAGCACTATCATTAGTTTCCATCGTCTCCATCGTTGTCGGCCTGTCAATCATTATTTTTCTGAATGAGGTTGGTATTTGATTGGGCCTTCCTGTTCGCAGCAGTTTGGGACTGGATGGTGTAGACCTATGTGTGAATTAGCTGATTTAGAGGTATTAAGAACCTTTCTCGAAGTAGTTCCAGTCGGAGTCACAAGAATCAAGAAGGCAGTCGTTGTGATGATCGACTCAAGGATTGCAACCTGAGGCTGAGTATGTATTTCCAACGAGAATATTGAATATGTGATTCCTACAGGAATATTGAATATGTGATTCCTACGAGAATAGTGAGTATGTATTTCCAACGAGAATATTGATATGAGATTCCTACGGGAATATTGAATATGTGATTCTTACTTGAATATTGATATTAGATTCCAACAGGAATACCGTTATATGATTTCTTCGAGAATATTGTTAAAGGTTTCCTGCATGAAACATGGTTGATGATTTCCTACGAGAAACATTGTAAAAGTCTCCCTGATGGGTTATTGTAACAATTGTTGGGATGAAATCCCAGTGTATTCAGTTTATCTGCAAAACTTATGCTTTAGGAACTAGATTCCTTACTATTTATGACTAATCAAATTCATAGAGACTGGAAGTGTTCATAATGATGATGAAATTATAAAAGATGGGTTGTATTGTGGTAACACCAATGAGTTGTATACTCTGATAAAGTCATTAAGGTTTTAGTAAAATTAGATTTTAATGTGACTAGATGTCATGATATTTGTATGAGAAAAGTGATAATTTGGTTGATTGAAAAGTACGAGTATTACAAGTGCTATCAGAGCGATAGTTTAAGCGAATTAGGTTTGAAATTTCCTTATACAGGCTTAAACTGTGAGATATGTAAAAAGTGTTCTGAGAAAATAGAGAAAATGGAAAAATTAAGAGGGCGCGATGGGTTCTCTCTTTTGACATGACGTGTTGATGGACACGTGTCACTAGAACGTGACACGTGGTAGTGGATAGGTGGCCAAAGACGCAGAGCAACAAGAAGGTTGGTTCACGACACAAAGGCATGGTGGAGAGGCATGACATGTGTCATCATAAAAATACACATGACAGAATCTGAGGAGGCACGTGGCTCGTGATGTTACCTAGTGGATGATGCATCGTGTACCGTAGAGGCCTTTATATGTATTGCATATATGATACAAGAGGTTTTTTCCCAGAAAGGAAAAAATACAATATTATATGTGATTCCTTTGGGATTATTGAATATATAATGCCTATGGGAGTATTGAATATGTGATTCCTATGGGAATTTTAAATATGTAATTCCTAAGGTAATATTGAATATGTAATTCCTACGCGAATATTGATATGAGATTCCTACAGAAATATTGAATAAGTTATTCCTACAAGAATACTGATATGAGATTCCTATGGGAATATCGTTATAGGTATCCTTCGAGAATATTGCTAAAGGTTTCCTGCAAGAAACATTGCTAATGGTTTCCTATGGATAACATTGTAAAAGACTCCCAAAGGGGATATTGTAACAACTGTTGGGATGAAATCCCCGTGTATGCAGTTTATCTACAAAGCTTATGTTTTGGGAACTAGATTCCTTATGATATATGATTTATCGAAGTTATAGAGACTAGAAGTGTTCATAATGATGATGAAATTATGAAAGTTGGGTTGTATTGTGGTAACACCAATGAGTTGTAAACTCTAATAAAGTTATGAAGGTTTTTGTAAAACTAGTTTTTAACTTGATTACATTTAATGATATTTATGCGACCAAAGTGATAATTTGGTTGATTAAAAAGTACGGGTGTTATAGTTTTCCCCTTTAGAATCATACAAATACACCAATTCACCATACTTCAATGTAATCTTGGAATTTTTTTTGAGAATCCATGATTTAAAAGGAATCCGTACTACGTCAATACAAACTACTCTTTCTTTTAATTTCAAAGTTACTTGACTAAGGGAGAACTTACGAGAACCACAAATTCACCCCAATGTGTTGGTGACACTTGGTCAATGAAATATGAGAATCGAACTACAACATAACCCTAAAATCGGCTTGGTATTGCATGCCCATATTAGGAAACCTATCATGTTATAACTAGAATGAATGTTAGGTAAGGATCAAAATCCTTGAAACACAGGGTAAGCATCAAATAAATTCCTTATTAATAAAACACCATCGATTAATCAACAAAGAAGCCTGATTCTCCTCATTGGCATGTGCACTCTCTGTTGCCACCCATTTTACTGTTGCATCATTCATGGCTCCTGAGGAACTCCATTTATATGTTTCGTGCCAAAGTTAACAAACCTTTACTATGGAATGGCCTGTTAGGTTTTTGGATTCTGATCAAAACGAGCAATGTTAGCAAACAATATATGCTTTCCGATCCAAATTATGCACATGTTTGACACAAAATATTGACATCCTCTACCCTTTTAAATAATTAAAAGGCTTACGAATCTTAGACAGACACTTAGTATTAAAAACATCAACTACTGTACCAAAACGTACACACATATTCTATACTTCTTGAATCATGAAATGGGATAGGAAGTTTGTAACTATGGGCAGATGGCTTTAGGGAACAGAGAAGCCATGTCCCTCATGGTATTTTTACATATTAATATCTATTTATATATGAAATTTATTTACATTTTTGATTAAAAAAAAGATGTACATGAGAAACCTAGAAGAACATGACGCCACAATAGATTTTCCGTCCTCTCTTGAAAATGTGCAATATAATGTGGTATCTTGTGACTCTTTATGCTAGATTGTATTTCTATCAAAGGTAAAATGCATAAAATATACTAAGTTCACATGAAATTGCGATTTTGACATTGTGTTATTTTTTACCAATAAGACACTAAGTTTTCAAAAATTGTAATTTTAACACAATATTTTCCAATTTGTTTCAATGTTGACCATTTGACAGGTCAACCTAGTTGTCAATTGACGTGGCATGGTGACATGTCGACCTTTGATGATGTGGCGCTGCCATGGGATGGTGATGTGACATTTTTTTGTGACATTACTTTCCGGGTGTCAAAATTGAAAAATAAAATAAAATAAAATGTAGTGACTTAATTGAAAAAGAATCACAATGTCAAAGCCGAACTTTGTAAAAACTAAGTGTCTTTTGTGCAATTTGAGCTTATTAAACATAATAATCAGGACTTGTTGGAGGGTTGGAAAACTTTTATGGGCAAACTTTTGGAGCAAGACAACATAACAAAATTGGTTTCTATACATGCAATGCTATAATCTCGTTGCTATTAGACCATCTCCAACCCATTTCCACGCCCCCCTAATAAACGGAGTAAAAACGGGGTAAATAGTGTTTCATATCCCAAACCTACTTCATCTTTTACTCCAATTTCCACCCCAAAAGTATATTCCTAATATATATTTGACCTACCTAGATATCTAGAGGCCAATGCCTCGACCATTATTGTATAACAAAAACAGTTCCAAAGCCCCTGGCTTTGACTTGCCTTGATGTTTGGAGGCTAATGCCTCAACCATTATTATAAAATGACAAACAGTTCCAAAGCCCTTTGCTTTGACCTTCCCAGATCTCTATATTCCAATGCCTCAACCATTTCTTTAAAACGAAAAATGGTTCCAAATCCCCTGGCTTTGACATGCCTAGATGTCTGGAGGCCAAAGCCCTGACCATTAATCTAAATGGGAAACGATTCCAAAGCCCCTGGCTTTGACCTGCCTAAAGGTCTTAAGGTCATTTCCTCGATCCTTAACAACAGAATACATTTAGTTATAGATAATTTTCAGGAAAATCAAACAATCGAATACCACAAAGAAGAAACAAAGAGAACAAGTATAGGTAGACACATAAAGTACCAACTCAAAGCACAACCGCATAGCAAAATTATACGAGAAATAGAAATACGTAGCCACCAAAAGTACATAACATTCAAGAAACGTAAACATAGTAGTAGCGGTACATTAACATCCATAATAGACCAAACTAGCCTACAAACCCAAACACATTATTTTAAACAAAGGAAACAACAAACATAACATACGAAACAAAAAACAGAAATCCCATGAAGTGCTGACATCACCTTACAACTGCAACAAACGAAACAGGCCAAAAACATCCAATTCCCCCAATCCCAATGCAGATGTATAATCTAAAGAAGCCAATGCGTCCAACACATCATCCACCACCACCTCTTAATTTATAGTACTATCAGGCATATCATCTAAGCTCCCACCACCTCGCACCAAATCTTTTGCATGATTAATACCCTACACTTTCCCCACCTCCATGCATGCATCACGAAAATGCTTCACACCCTAACCGAACTCCTTACTCTCTAGAACCCGATCAAAAACTCCAGACAAACCATCTTTCATCACACATCCCAAATCTGCCTCCAAACCCTCGACCAAAGAATACTTTTTAGCAACACTCTGATCCTTCTCCACTAAATCCTTCTCAACACTTTCCAGGTGAATACTTAGACCCTCATTCTCTTGTTTTAGCTGACCAACAACAACACCTAGAGCAACCTTATCATGATCAAACCCGACAACCTTCTACCTCAAGGGCTGCCTCTTTTCACCCACCTTGTTCATTTCTAAAACATTTCCCTCCAATTAAGATATGTTAGCCTACAACTCTGACCGTAAGGACAACAACATGACATGCTCTAAACGTAGGGTATGCATCTCCTTTTGCAGATGGTTGTGCTCTTCATAACTTTTAAGAAACTGCTCCAAACGATTAACACCCTCCGCAAACGGCAAGGACTTTGGGCTGCAGCAAAACGGAGCGACCTAACAAAATCAAAAAGTGAATAACTAGCCATCTCAACTGCTATCCCATAGGGTAACACATTCTTGGTAAAGTCAATAGCTACATCAAACACAGATAGAAGAGAATTATCCATCAAAGACCAATAAGGGAAAAAACCCACAGAGTTTGATCCTTGCTCCTCTCCTTCACCAACCACAACAGAACCACCATGCCCAAAACCAAAAAATTGAGCACCACAAACACTACCAGTCCCACCTACAATCACATCAATTAGTTTAGAAACCTCAGGGGTAATTGTATGATTAATACCAACATCATCCATATATACATTGGAATCCGGAACATAACCCTTCTCAATATTCACATCATCATAAATATCAATAACCTCAACCTGAACAAACGCACCTCAAGAGCTACCACCAGCCAATCGACGTGGATGTAAAAGCCGCACAAGAGCAAGACCCTCACCATCTACGTTGATCACACTCTGCCAAGCCACCTTGCACTTATTCACCGGAGGAAGAATACCTTCCTTATTATCCTCCACAAACTCCTCTTCTAACGCTTTTCCCCTAGAAGATTCGGCAGTACCATCCAAACCAACATGATCGATTGAGGCTGACCGCGAAGATTACGTAACGGCTCGGCATCACTCAACATCTTGAATGGCAGTAGCATGAGCAATAAAAGCTTTATTACAGAAGGTGAAAGACGACAAGAACTTATCCACAAGATCCACCTCACGATACCGAAGACTTCCAATTCATTTCTTAGCCAACACATCCAAATAACCCACCCTCTTCTAAACACCTACAAATCATGTGCAAACAACAATAACATACACAATTTCAAACAAAGGAGAAAAGGAAGAGATAAGGAATAGAAGAAGAAGAAAATCGGAAAACTTTAATACCTTTCAGCTTGACATAAAACTCCAACATTTCCCCACAAAGTCTCCACGATGTACTCATACCAGCCACGACAAGCACATACCCCTGAAAGTTATTGACTACAACATGGAAACAATGATGAACCTTATCCATCCGCTCCTTATCCAAATAAAGGGTAAAAGACTGATTAGAGATGGAAGTTGAGCGACGATACATGAACCCCACACAATCCACGTTAACTCAGTAATAACGATTCATCCAGTTCTTTGGAGAATTCTTCTACTCCGTCACCAGAACATGGCTATGCTTATGAACAACACATATGTAGCTCTCACTAGAAGAAGCATAGACAAAACTAAAGAAATGATATAAAACCAATATACCGGGAGTAATCTCATTAGCACGACATAGCATCTCGAACACAACCACTTTGTTCACTTCATTAGGCACCAATTAATTGATATGAACCTTGTGATGGCGAAGGACCTCCCCGAAAAAGTTAGATCTATTGAATCTATATGACCAATAATCACTATTGAGTGATATTCCTAATAACATATGATCCCATAGGGTCACACCTTTATCAAGTTGGCAGAATTTGTATATTTATTATTAATTTGATTATTAATACATACTATAAATTCTTGTATTTAATTAGGGAATACTTATTGTTTTGTGAAAATAATAATTAAAAAGAGTATAACTAGTTATTGCATCATATAGTATGATTTAATAAGTCATGTACAAAGTTTTGGATACTTTGGTTAACCATGATCAAATTAGTGAGTTTGTATACAATGGTTAATAAACTAGCTAGAAAATTTTTGTCTTCTTTAGAAGGTATGGTCGAAAATTTCTAAGGCATGACAGGTTGCTTGTCAACCTCCTAGCTTTGTCCCCCATGATTCTAAAAGGCTACAAATACTTTATGTTATTATAATCTAAATGTATGTCTTGCATGAGAGTATAAAAGGAATGCTTTTGCATGAGTTTTTATCTAGTTGTTTAAGTGCTTATTTCTTTCTTTTTCTATCCAAGAAGCCATAGCTTCTTCACCCTCTTCTACTTTCTTTCTTTTGAAGTTTGAAGTCTAGATTTGGTGCTTACTTTCTATCTTCCTTTGGTGCTTATTTTGTTAAACACTTTGAGGCTTAAATAACAAAGTATTACAAGAAGGAACTAGCATTCCAAGTGCCTTTATCTTGATGGTGGATACTTGTAGTGAAAATCATACTCTTTGATTTTTCTATCTTCATCAACACCCCAAAACCAGGTGGGTTCAAAGGCTATAAATGTTGTCATTATAAAACACTCTATGATTGTTTTTAATATCATTATATCCTCCATAAATGCATCATAGATGGTTTGGTTTTGTTAAAAACTTTAAAATAAACTTGATAATTTTAAAAGCTTCCGTTGCGGTTTTTGTGAAAAACTAACTTATATTTTGTATCAAAACCCATCAAGATGTTGGAAGACCATATCCGTCATCGAAATACGTTACATATATACCAATTTACCCTCAGGAGGATTAATGAAACTAGAATTCTCACCGGGAAACGCCACGCCATTCTCCGGATGAAATCTATATTTTCGCTTAAGAGCGACAAACTGATGGGGAGTCGGAACAACATTGATCAGAGAATCCATAGCAGAGGGAAAGAAAGATGAGAAAGAAATCAAGATGAAGAACATAAGTATGGGATAAGAAAAACTTAAAGGGAATAAGTTATAAAAGACATCATTGAGTAGGAAATTCGAAACCCTAATGATGGCAGCTGATGTAACAACCGGAAAACCATTAAGGTGTGCAGCTGAAAGGAAAGGAACCAAGCATAAGGAGGCATGGCATTCGAGACTAGTCCCACCCGTTGCAGTAAGCAAGCCTATGCTACAATGAATAAGAATAGGGAGAGTTGATAGCGTACCTTCCAGATGCGAAAGGTGCTAACCGTGTATCTAGCTAGCTGGCCGTCATGGCTGCTCCATTCCATTTCCAGCCCACATTGGACTATCCCCAGATGTCCAATAGATAGTCTACAAAAAGGGCCGGAAAGTCGACAGACGACAAACCAACACCTGCTAACTTGAGTGGGGGTGAACATACAACTACCACGACTAAGCCAATCATAGATTAGGCATGATACAAAAGTACGATCCACAAATCAACGACTCTGTCCCAATTAGGGTCTACCACTCCTGTCTCCACGAACGGGATGTTAGTACATAAAAGTTCCCCTTAGTCAATCTGATTTGATGTGTCTTTCCGAGATGGTGTGGACCCTGAGATGAAGAGTAGTTTCCGAAGTGATTATATTTCCGAGATGATGTTGTTTCAGATTAGTCAATGTGTTATTTCAGAAGTGAAAGTACTTGTTTTTTGTTTTCTATTCGTAACACAGTATAGTAGAACCGACAAGATCAACATCAGCGGTAGTGTCAGGCTGTTGATCTTCAGTCCATGCACACTTTATATAGAACTTGTCTTTAGTAACTCCTTGGCTATAAAAGGAGTGTCAATCTTTGTAATATGTGTAAAAAACTCGAGAACAAATTCAATTCTATCAAATCAAGAAATATTCAGTCAATCATTTCTATCTAACATTCTTCTTGTTGTTATTTACTTTTCACTGTTCATACTTTGTATCAAATATTTTGATCACTTTGTTGAGTTATTTAATTCAAGGCTTGATTGGTTTATTCAGACTTGACCATATCTCTTATTATAAGTAATCATTGCCGTTAGATTAACTCAAGGTTTGAGTTTTCAAACCTTGTTCGTGCAAATCAGTGAACTCACAATTGGTATCAGAGCCTAAGTGGTTGTCCTTTGAATCCATAAGAATATATTATAGTTGGTTGAAGATTAACTTGGTATCTCAATCATTTTTGTGTTTAGGATAAAAGTTCTTCTATATACCACTTCAGCTCGAATATTTAAATATCAATGGATGCTTTTAATCTATCTCAATAAATGTATCCAATGAAAATCGCATATAGCGTGGGTTGCCCATCGCGTGCCCCATTGCTTGTTGTCGAAGAGTATGATCACTTGAAAGTAAGAATGAAGAGATTTTTGGTTGGAAAAGAAAAAGGTGAATAAATATGGAGTTCAGTGAAAGAAGGTCCTTATGTTCTAGTTAGGAAAATGGTCAGAGATTTTTTTGCTGCTCTCATGGGTCAAGAAGGGCTCTGACCAGCACCTCTCACTACAATTGACGTCGAAAAACTCCATGCATATCAAATTTCTTTTTCCAAAATGGGTTTTGGTGTTCAAACATCTCTCTTTGAGCACATTAAGTTGTGAAAATCTTCCAAAGAGATTTGGTATACACTTTAAGATTTGTTTGAATGATCAGAAAATATGAAGGACAAGCGATTGACATCTGTGGTGAATGACTTTGACACTTTCACTACCACTCCTGGTGAACATGTTGCCTCTGCATCAAATCGGTACCAAATTATGGTGAACAACATGACATCACATGGACTTGTGGGAACTCCTCTCGAATACAATCTCAAGTTCATCAATAGTCTCGGAAAAGGATGGGTAAATGTTTAATCCTATCTTCAAAGTAATTGATATTTGAAGAAACTGAAGCTCTACCATTTGTTCAACGAATTGCAAGGTCACGAATCTAATGTTGCTCAAACATTGAGAGAACTCTCTAAAGGTCCTATCACTCTAGTATGTTCCGTTAATACACTTCTTCCAAACCCAACTGTCTTAGATCCATTCAGAGTTGTCCCATCTGTTCCACCTGTTCAATCTAATAAACATGTTCCAACCATTCTGAACTTCCCATGTGAAGAAAACTTTGATCTAGAAGCTGTTGATTCCGAACTTCGTTTCCAACAAGAGTTTGCACTTCTATCTATGAAGTATAGACGACCATAGATGTAACACCTGGTTCCTGGTACGTATTTAAATTCAAGTATTTTGGTGTTCTACTCTGGGACTCGGCGAGTTGGAGGCCCAACTCGTCGAGTAGACACGACTTTTGATTGGGGGTTAAGTGACCTACTCGACGAGTCGGGAGACCGACTCGACGAGTAGGAGCTGTCTGGACAAAACCCTAATATTTGGGTTTGCACCCTATTTAAACAACTTATAACACCCCAACACAGCCTCCATTGTTCCTCCCAACCCAGAGAAATCCCTAACTCAAAACCCTAGCCATTATTGTGTGTTCTTGAGCTTGTTGGTACCTCTTTGTGTGTTTTGACGTTGGAAATGAGGAAGGAAGCTTGGGAGTTCAAGTAGAAGCAAGAAGATCCAGAGGTTTTGCTCCATTCTCAGCTCATTCTAGGTAAAAAGCTGGAACCTTGACCATCTATCTCTTAGATTTTGATTTGGGGGTATTTCTACCCTTTTTATGAGTTTAGAGAAGCTAAAATCATATTTTGTGGGGGTGCTTGGAGTTGCACTCCAGATCTGGAGCTATTAGGGGTCCTTATGGAATAAAGGTGCCAACTTTGTTGCCATAAGCACCTCATGCATCTTGTAGACTTCTTTTTATGGCTTTTGAGCCCAAAACCCCCATGCATGGACGTCAAGATTAGAACTTTACATATAAAATGGACCCTAGGAGGTCAGATCTATGGTTTTGATGCATTGAGAACCATTACAATCCACTGTATAGTTTTGGAAAAAGAGAGACTCGACGAGTCACTTGGGTGACTCGGCGAGTCAGGACGCATTTTTCCCCAAACGTCTTCTGGAAATGGTTTTGGTTGAGTGGAAGGAACACTCAGCCTGCTAGGGGTTTGTTTTGGACCTGGAAATCATAGGACTCGACGAGTGGATTAATAGACTCGGCGAGTTCAAGACAATGTACCAACCACATGAAGATGGACTTGACGAGTTCAAGGAGAACTTGGCGAGTCAGAGACTGAACACCTTCTTATGGATGAAGATGAACTCGAGGAGATAAAGGACGAACTCGGCAAGTCGGTTGAAGATAGTCTGATGTGTTGTTGAAGGCGAACTCGTCGAGCTCTTGCTAGACTCGACGAGTAGGGACGGGATTATGGCATTTTGAGATATGGGGACTCGGCGAGTTAGTAGACCAACTCGGCGAGTCGAGTCAACCAGATGTTGACTTTGACCAGATGTTGACCATTGACCAAGGTGTTGACCTTGACCTTGTCTTGGACTTGAGTTGACCCGTGTAAGGGTTACAAGTATGAATTGATAAGTTAGAAAAGTTGTTGTGTAGGCATTGAGGATTCGAGGAGAGTTGGTTTTCATACCGAGATCAGTGCAGACACTACACGACTTTGAGGCGAGTTTCCTCCTAGTAGGAGTGGGTCTACGGCGACAATGCCGACCCACAAGTAAGAGTGTTGGATAGATGATTGTCTTTGTGATAATTATCTAGTGTTGATATGTGATATGATTATTGTGTCTGATATGATTATTGTGCTTGATATGTTACTATGCTTGATATGTGCTAGCAGTAGTAGGGGTGAAATAGTCCCCGGTTATCAGTTGAAAGATACCGAAGGGGAGGGTAGCTCCCAGTTAGCAGTTGCTAGATACCAAAGGGGAGTTTAGTTCCCGGTTACTGGTTGAAAGATACCGAAGATGAGTCCAGCTCCTGGCTATGCTCGACAGTTACCGGTTGAAAGATACCGAGGATTATGCTTTATTTGGTATGGGTATGATGGGGGAACTCACTAAGCTTTGTGCTTACGGTTTTTAGTTTTGGTTTCAGGTACCTCTTCATCTAAGGGGAAGGAGCCGGTGAGGTAGCTGCGCATCACACATTCACACATGATATTCCGCATTTGAGAATCCTGGGATTGTACTATGATATTATACTATTTACTAATATGGTTTTGAGACTTGTGATTTGTGACTTATTGATTGAAAGGATTTCAATGTTGTTTTCTGTTAACTATTTTTATAAGTAAAATACTTTAAAACAAAAAATTTTGGGTCTCGATTTTGGGATGTTACAATAGAATCCTAATAAAAAATCTCATCATAATAGATGTCAAGCTCCTCACCAAAGAAATCCTCAACCCTACACTAAACCTATTAAAAATCCACCAGCTTATCGACCTAACATTTCAAACCGTTCCTTGAAACTTGAAGAAACTCTGACCTCATCCAAGCCTAAGATTATGTGTCACATGTGTGGTCTCAGAAACCACTATGCAAAGCACTGTTTGGCTGATGTTGTTCAGAAACCAAAGGTGAAAGACTATTCTTACTATTCTTGCCGTGCACATGAGCGAGCAGAGAGTGAAAAGGCATTTCTTACTACGGTCTCATGAATTGTTGATGGCTATTGGTCTTCTGGCGATGAGGATTAAGGAAACTCTGGACGAAACTTATGTCTTATGGCTAGATAAACCATTGAATGTGATGAAGGGTACTAGTCTTCAGGTTCTGAAGTTGAAAATGAGGATGTTGATCCAAACTACTACTACATGGAAATCAACAACCCACCTGGCAGAAGAATCATCCACCAGGTAAAATCCATGATTACTGAAAATAATTTTGATTTATCTTTATGTGAACATTATCTAACTTAAATTGAATCAGATATGACAGTCATTCTTAAAGCCTAGGAGTATGCCATAGATGTAAGTGAGAAGCTGGATAGTGAGTTAACCAGACTTAGATTACGATTTGAAGACCGCAAGCTTAAGATTGAATCCTTAGACCATGGAGTTGTAATAGCTAC